ACTTCCGACAATATGGAGAGATGAAAAAGCAGTCAGCAGGGAGAAGAGTCAGAAGAGAAAAGATCAGAAGAAAGAAGATGCAGGTGCGCGAAAAGGTAGGAAAGTCGCGAAACAATGTGTTTTTTCGTGGCTTTGTGGCTCCGGAGGGTTGAAAAGTAGGCTCGCTAAAGCGGCGGGTGCGGAGCCAGCTGGCCAGATGAGAGATGAAAAATTGCACGCCGTTGTGGCGCGAAGCACATTTCCAAGTCAAAATGTACAAAACACACCAGGTGCGGACCACTTTTGGAAGTTGCGATGTCGAAAAAGTGCACGCCGTTGTGGCGCGAAGCACATTTCGAAGTCAAAATGCACAAAACACACCATTCTCGGACCACTTTTGGAAGTTGAGATGTTGAAAAAGTGCGCGCCGTTGTTCCAAGTCAAAATGTACAAAACACCACATGTTCGCGCCACTTTTGGAGGTTCGGATGTCGAAAAAGTGCACGCCGTTGTGGCGCGAAGCACATTTCCAAGTCAAAATGTACAAAGCACCACATGTTCGCGCCACTTTTGGAGGTTCGGATGTCGAAAAAGTGCACGCTGTTGTGGCGCGAAGCACATTTCCAAGCCAAAATGTACAAAACACTAGGGGTTCGGACCACTTTTGGAGGTTCAGATGTCGCTTCGCTTCGCTTCGGGTCACTACACTACACTATACACTCCACTACAGTACATTACACTACACTACACTCCACAACACTACAGCTACAACTACAGAACTACACAACTACACCCCACTACACTCCACTACACTACATTACACTACACTCCACTCTCCACTACACTACACTACATTACACTACACTACACACTCCACTACACTACTGTACATTACACTACACTACACTCCACAACACTACAACTACAGAACTACACAACTACACTCCACTACACTCCACTACACTAAATTACACTACACTACATTACACTCCACTACACTACACTACATTACACTACACGACCTTCCACTACACTTCACTACATTACACCCCACTACACTCCACTACACTACCACTACAACTACGACTACACAACTACACTCCACTACACTCCACTACACTAAATTACACTACACTAATTACACTACACTACATTACACTACACTACACTACACTACCTTCCACTACACTTCACTACATTACACCCCACTACACTACAACTACAGCTACGACTACACAACTACACTCCACTACACTCCACTACACTAAATTTCACTACACTACACAACAGTACACTACACTACACTACATTCCACTACACTCCACCACACTACACTACATTACACTGCACTACATTACGCTGAATGACACTGCACCACAGATAGACAGGTAGACAGATAGACAGATAGATAGACAGATAGACAGGTAGACAGCTAGACAGATAGACAGATGAAAGAGAGAGAGAGAGATAGATAGATAGATAGATAGGAAAATTAGATGAAAGAGAGAGAGAGAGAGAGATAGATAGATAGATAGATACATAGAAAATAGATAGGTAGGTAGGTAGATAGTCAGAGAAAGAGATAGAAAGAGTGAGAGAGATCAAGCACCTTTCAGTCCATCAGTGGCTTCGCTCTGCCATCCCTGATTCACAACAACCAACCTCTCCTATAGCTTTCCTATTTTTGAAACTTCCGCCACCGCCTTGTGCGGTACTACTGGTAAGGGCTACCACCCCCTGCCGTTCAGGAGAAGGGTGCTGGAGAATTTTGGTTTGGTTCTGGTTTAGTTCCCTGTTTGGTGTTTTTGGACTTTTACCTTTCCCTTCATAGGTAGCAGCCAAACTTCCAAAGGTGAGGCTTTGCCACAGCCAAAAAATTAACATGGTCCTGAAGCGCATCCTTGCACCTGCCGCTAGTACAGTACCGCCTACAGTAATGTTGCTTTTTAAAGTCTCAAGAAACAAGCGCCAAACGCAGCAGCCAAGCTTCCAAAAGCCAAGCTGCAAGAAACTGCTGATGGCTGGGGCTGGGGTCTGCGGATAGGGATATTTCTGCGAAAGATACGCATGGCGCACGCGAAAGTTTCGCGAAAGTATTTTTTTCTTCGCCAACAACCACATATCAGTTCATATCGTGCAAACGTTTGGAGTATTTTTCATCATACACAAAATCACGCAGGTGGGTCAAAATTGGGCTCTGCTGAACTTGGATGGTTAACATTGAGATGTAGCTGTAGATGGGCCAGGTAGACAGATCCATAGTCCATAGATGGGCCGATGGATTTATCAAAATAACAGGTAACATGCAGATTCAGCAGGGGAACCGGTCACTCTGTGACTGACCCAGTGGAATGAAGCTAGGTCACAGAGCGGTGATTGGCCATCCAGACATACCTGCAGTTTCAACGTCCAACAGATTAGTTTTCATGCATGGCGACCGGCTAAGTCAAAAACAGGAACATATTTCCAAATTTGCTCGGTTGGCATCGACTTCTCAGGGTTCAAATTTAGGTCGCTTCCAGGCGTCGACTTTGCCATCATTAAAACGATCCCACTACTGAGTAATACTACTCAGTCTGCAGTGTGTGTGTGTATATGTGATGTGCATATACGTGTGTGTGCGCGTGTACTGTGTGTAGCGTTTGCGCTGTCTCTGCTTCATTCTTGTGGAAGGATCGATTGTCTATCAAATTGCGGAGACTCCGAGTTCAACGGCAAGCTGTGGATCGCAGGCGTTTTGTTGTTCATCGTAAGTCAATGTGATGTTTCCGAAGGCGGTTGCTCATAGCAGTCAGAGATAGTCAGCGGTAGCTTCCTTAGAGAATGTTGACACATCTTGACATGGTGAGGTTGCCGGGATCTGTAAATTTGCCCGTGCTATTCGCGGCTTGGACTCGTTGAGCATTTTTGAGTGTGTTGTCAGATTTGTCAGTGATCCGTCGTCTAGTTCGACATGTTACCAGCGTCAGCACATTGTTTTCTTGGCCGTCGTGGGCACGGCCTTTTTCTGCGCACGTGTTGAAATCACATTTGCTTATGGTATCTTATGGTCTCTAAGTTTGAGCATTTTGGAGATCTGACCTTTCGTTGCAAAAAGAACACCAAATTCATCCAAGGTCAAAGCATCACAAATGTCTAAAATGCACAAAAATGATCAAACAAATGCAGTTTACATGTTTTCGCATGTGGGACACCCATGTGCATTGCCTCGACTCCAATGTGTTTGTAGATACACAGCGTCCATCAGGCAGGCATTGTTGGAAATTGCCTGCAGAGGTTTCAGCTGCTGTTGCAAACCGCGTTTCCAACAGAGTTCTTTTGGCTCCTCTTTTGCGCCATACTTACCGCAGCTTGGCATAGAGGACGTGATTTTGGACCTTCTGCAAGCTCGGTATGGCTGGGGCACTTGCAAGAAAACGACACGCAAATAAACCAAAATAAACCTTTCTAAACAACCTTTCTCTGCTGACTTGGTCCTTGTTTGGGTTTGCATGATCCTTGTGGATCTGCTTCCGTTGATTCCTCTGAGTCCTGGCACTAACGACTACTGTTGCTCAACTGGTTGTTTATCTCACCTGGCTGAAGCGAAGATGCCGGAAAGGACGGTTTCATTGTTTTATATTCGCGTTTTCAACCTTTTCATAGCCGCTGCGACACGTCTTTGGCAAAGCCAGCCAGTGCTTGTTGCAGCTTAGCTTTCCCCAACTTGTGTCCAGCAGGACTGGTGCAAGACTCGATGTGGTCTTTTGCAAAAAGAAATCCTGCCCTGATAACTGCCTTTGGTATGTGCTTGGCCCTCAGCCCTGCAGCAACTAGCTTTTGGTGCAGCTGCAACATATCAGAGTATATAGCTGAAGGAAGTTTAGAAGTCAAACTTCCGACAATATGGACAGATGGAAAAGCAGCGGTGGGAAGAGTCAGAGGAGAGAAAAGAAGAAGAAGAAGAAGAAATAAGATCAGAGAAGAGAAAGAGTCAGAAGAAAGAAGATGCAGGTGCGCGAAAAGGTATAAAAGTCGCGAAACTATGCGTTCTTCCAGTGTTTTGGGGTTCCGGAGTCCGGAGGCTCGAAAAGTAGGCTCGCTAAAGCGGCGGGTGCGAAGCCATCTGGTCGTATAAGAGATGAAAAAGTGCACGCCGCTTTGGCGCGAAGCACATTTTGAAGTTCATTTCGAATTTCATTTTGAAGCCGGCATGTTAAAAACACCCTCAATGTTGGAGCACTTGTGGAAGTTGAGTTCTCGAGAAAGCGCTATGGCGCGAAGGACGCTTCGAAGTCACAATGTGCAAAACACTTCAGCTCCGGAGCCCTTTTGGATATTGAGCTATGGAAAAAGCGCGCCGCCGTGGTGGCGCGAAGCACATTTGGAAATAAGAAATTGCAAGACTCACCACGTTCGGATCACTTTTTTGAAATTTGAGATTGTCAAAAAGTGCGCGCAGCGGTGGCGCGAAACACATTTTCAGCCAAAATGCTAAAAACACAAAAT